GCACTAGCAAAAAACTATAAATAAAATGCAATGAATACTGATAATTTCTGATTTTGCCGTGGAAGCGCTACGGTCGTAATAGGTTGATGTCAACTTCCGACCGCAGCGCCTCAACAGCAAAAATCTAGATTAAAATAAACATTTTGTTAATCCTCAAATTTGTTTTGATTAAATTCTTTTAAGTGTACGCCTTCGAGTGATATAAACAAAACACCAAATTTGAAGGGACTTATATCTGACCTTAGACAAGGAAAGAGAATATCTGACAAACACCTTGTATTGTCACAGGTATTGTAAACTGGGATCTAATAAAGAACTACTTTACATTCATACTTACGGTTTTAACTCTATTACTTCGCCTATGTTATCCATCATTTCCGATAGAAAAAGATCAGTAGCTGAAAGAGAAAAAATAACCCGAGATCAGTTCAGGTATAAATTCAGCACGATAAATTAAAATTTGTAAGGAGGTATCTTGGAGAAGACCCAATACAGAGATGTTATCACTTATTAAACCTAATTCGTTTAATACATATTCAGACAAGTGTCATTTATATTTAATAATACCTTTTGTATAATACCTACCTAAGTAATAAGATACAGGATCAATTAGTATTTACGGTTCCAGTCGATATTACACACTAAAAACGTAAAATTTTCTATACACATTAATTAAAAACATCGGATATTAGCACTTTATTACCTTATATAGATATGGATTGACCTAAGTTAAGCACAAACATTCAATAAAACCTCTTTGTAAGTGTAAAAATTAAAAAAATATATGTATTTGCTGTATTTCCAGCTTCCAGCTAACAGCCATTGACTTTTGAATTGACAGTTGATCGACGGCAGACGGCAGTGACACCACAGATTCGGTATACTGTGGTGAAACTTTACTTTAGGGATGTTTGACTTAAATCGATTCTTCAGAAAATCGATCTTTTGACACACGATTCCGGATTTTTTGTTGTTGCTACTAACCACTAATATCTTAAAATTTTATCTTCTACTCCTATCCATGCCCATATATTTATTTTTTCAATTTCCAAGATTTTCTTCACTTTATGGTGAAGGAAGATATAATTGGATTCAGATTTCCGGCCAAAGCCATCTCGTCATTATTAAAAAATTACTTCAGAATGTAATAATAATTAAAAAAAATTGTAAATTGATTGTTATCAGTTCATTTTGCTCTTAAAAATTAACCAAAGCATGTATTGACATGAATCAAAAAATAAAATGCTCAGGAGTCATGGTTCTGACCGTAAAATTATAATTTAGAAAAATATTGCAATAAACACACGTAATTATTGCACAGGATGTTTTAAAGTTAAGGTAAAAAAACAACCCCTGGATTAACTCTGTATAATATGCCAAATACTAAAGTTTATAAAAAGCTAAGTTTACGAATTAAAGTTTATATAATTATATGCAGCTTGCTAAAAAATTCATGAAAATAGGGCTAAAAATAACAAAAATAAACACTTTAAATTTGACCAAAAATTTCTCTGTTGCGTTTTTATTTGCATCTGAGTGTACATTTAAAAAACATACTTAGATCGGAGAAATAAACATCGGAGCGACATCTTCATGTTCTGTTTTTATAAAATCTTCTGTTTGGTTGTAATGTGTTACGAATATTTTCTTCGTCCACAAATGCGTATCTTTATCCACAAACGTCAGACGTTATCGTCAGGTTCCATTTTTATAAAATCTTCTAGCTTCACATTTCGAGTGGCAGATTCATTTTCGCTACTTCTGGAAACAATAAGAAAATATTTAAAACACAATGGCCGTATCCATTAATAAAAATACTTTTAAAAAACATACTTAAAGTCATCGTGCACCTCTGTCTTCATAATCGGAGCGACATCTTCGGGTTCTGGTTTTATGAAATCCTCCGATTTCATTTCATTTGTCAAAGATAAACATTCAAAATTTCTGGAATTAATGAGTTACATTACTATCACTAAATTAGTAAAAATGCACTTAAAAACCATACTTAGAGTCATCCAAACGCGAAACGACATCATCAATTTCAATTTTTAAAGCATCTAATATCACTTCTTCATCAGTTGAAGATGTACAATTGGCATTTCTGGAAACAATAAACAATTAAAATGACAAAATATGTGCCTGGACATTTTTGTTCCAATAGCAATATTTCAGTAAGTTTTTTTGATAAGTGTCATTATTTTGAATACTTTGAAGTTTCAAAAGAGTGACCGTAAATTTTGGGTATTAGAAAAATAAGCCTGAAGACCTTGGCATTCTCTTCATATTTTAAACTGAGTAAGATCACGTCAAGTGGACTCCCCTTTTCCACTTAGTCATGGAATTCTATTTAATATACAGGGTGGTCCGAACTGTATTCCGGAAACTTATTTTGCACATAAAAATAAGTAAAAAAGTTCGTATAAATGTGTGTCCTAAAATGCTTACTTTCGGAGATAAAGGGTGTAAAAGTTTCATTTTTATTTCGATTTTTTCTTGTTTCTTGTTCACTCTTAGTAATATCTTAATTATTAGATATTAATGCATCTGGTATTATGGTAACCTGGTAATATCGTCGATTTTAAAATGAACTAACCGTTTCTATCTTATTTTTTTGTTAGAATGGGCATAATCAAGAGGGCTACTGATACCGTGTTTTAAAAATAAGGTAATTAAGGGCTTATTTTTTGGTGATTATAATTTTAAAAATATCTTCGGTTTGAAAGAAGATATCAAGATGCGCTTTTCGCTGACTTTTTAAGCTTTTACTACTCTTTACTATCAGCTAAAATTACATATACTATCGTATTTAACATTTTTGAAAAAACGGGCTATGTTTGTTAAATTGTAAGAAACCGCCCCCTGACGTCTACGTTCAAGACCTTAGTATAATTATTTTTATGGTATAATATAGAGTAAGAAACGCTCTTTTAAACGAGCCCTTGCTTGTCGGATTCTGATCATCCAGTCCGGAGTTATTAACATATAAATAAAGACAGATCTAACCTTCCCCCACCACTTTATTTTAGCAGATAGAGGAAAATGGTTCTAACAAAAAAATCCAAAATTTACTGAATATTATGAAGCTATCATATATAGTCGGCCAAATTCTGTAAAAAATTCTATTATCTTATTTTCCATAGCAGTTGCGCCCTCTAGCGGTCGTTTTACAAACTTGAAAAATGCGATTAATAATTACCACACCGACATCTGACTGATACTGATTCTATTTTCTATTCTATTCTACTAGCGGTAGTCCCCACACAAACGTCTTAAAGCCCCGCCCCCTCTCGCAGAGGCTCTCTCGTCGTATCACTTTCCCTAAACGATGGTAGGGAAAAGACATTTTATCCGTCTCTGTTGCGCTGCAGTATATCTTTCAGCCTTAACATCTTTTTTTATCGCATTGAAACCCTCCTATGCCTAGATATCAAGTTACCAATCCTGTGTATGGTGTTATTTTTGATCGCTGATATCTTTGAGAGGGTTGACCTGAGGAACTTTGACCTTCAGACGTTTTTTTGTAGAGCGTGAAATCTATACTAATATATAAAATCCTTAAGTGACTGACTCACTGATCAATCACGATCCTGCTCAAACCACTCAACGTAAGAAGCTCAATTTTGGCATACAGGTTGATTCTAGGGTGTAGAGGTTCGATAACAAGGGATTTTTCGAAATTCCAGTTCCAAGGGGGTGAAACCACCCCTCAAATATTACAATATTTTTTATTTAAAACACGGTCATGTTTCAGAAAAAACGCTTAAACACGTATATTTTATTTTATTTTTTACATACTTTAAGATTTTTTAAAAATGTATAAAGGGTGTTTCGAAAAATCTGGTCATTGATTAATCACGATCCTGCTCAAAGCGCTTGACGTAAAAAGCTGACTTTTGGAAAACGGATTGCTTTTAGGGTGTAGAGGTTCGATAAGAAGGGATTTTTTTGTTAAAAAGTTTAGAACTGAACCATCCATATGTTGATATTAATTTACTCATAAGGCAGAGCCGCCAGCTCACAGAAAACATTAAGTCTTTTTTTTATTTAAATCATTTTAATGACTTAAGTCGTTTGATTTTAAGTCATTTTTCGAAAGCTGACATAAGACTTAAAATTTACGTCTTTTTGAAATATGTCATGACTACCAGTCATGACATATACATGCGAAACTTGGATACTTAAAACGGACATCATAAGAAAACTGCAGATCGCACAACGTTCAATGGAACGAAGGATGCTGCGAATAACCAAGAGAGACCGTAAAAGAATATATAGAGTGGATACGCCAAAAGACCCAGGTAATAGATGTCATCCACAGAGTAAAATTCCTCAAATGGCAATGGGCAGGACATCTGGTAAAAAAGAATGGATAATAGATGGACCACAAAAAGTTCAGCATGGTATAGTTTATCTGAAGTCAGTTGGAATAGATTAGGACTCTTAATTGGTGTCTTTGTCGGCGTCGCGTCGCCGTCGTCGTGACTAAGGAATTAAGACTCTTCCAGTTGACTTCGGAAATGCTATATCCAAGAGGAATTTAGAAACATAAGAGTGCATCTACCAGGTACTTTGTGAATGTAGTGAGTAGTGTATTGGAACGACAAAACGTATTTTAAATGACTTTATCGAACACAAAAGACCATAACAGAGAAGTGAAACAATGAAGTAAGATAATACAGACCATGTATGATCAAGGCAACACAAAATAAAGTGCTCGGAAGCTCGTGTTATTATATGAACGTTGGAAATAACAATTTTCTCTCATAACAATCTCCTGAAACAAAAAACAAACCGAAATACGTCTGATTTGTGATTTAAATGTTTATTCCGAAATTGAAAAAGATTTAAGTCTTTTTATAAAAGGCTTAGAACTAATCGATATTGCTATCTATAGGTGAAGATACACGTTTTTTCTGCTATACGTCAAATAAAATATATCTGGCAGATTATAAAGCGTTATTTGTACCCGAAAATACCGGGGGTAACAATAATAAATTTACCTGGAATCAATATGCTTAGCGTCAAGGTGGTCTTTTAATCTTTGTTTTTCCGTATATTTCTTATCACAGTGTGCACAAGCAAACAACTGTCGTTCATCTGGGGCCAAGTGAATCTTCTGGTGTCGTTGAAAGTGTGATATAGAGGGTGTTTGGTAGCCACAAATGGAACATTTATGGCGATTTTTCTGCGCATCCTTGGACCTAAAATCATTTTTAAATATTTGTCTTGTAATTGCGTCAAACAATTCTAAAATGGTAGTGGTAGTTTAACCACTAAGACAAAGATAAAATAGTGCCCGAAAATACCGGGGGTAACAATAATAAATTTACCTGGAATCAATATGCTTAGCGTCAAGGTGGAATTTTAATTTTCGGTTTTCTGTATATTTCTTATCACAGTGTGCACAAGCAAACAACTGTCGTTCATCTGGGGCCAAGTGAATTTTCTGGTGTCGTTTCAAGTGTGACATATAGGGTGTTTGGTAGTTACAAATGGAACATTTCTGGAGATTTTTCTGGGCATCCTTGGACCTAAAATCATTTTTAAATATTTGTCTCGTAATTGCGTAAAACAATTCTAAAATGGTAGTGGTAGTTTAACCACTAAGACAAAGATAAAATAGTACCCGAAAATACCGGGGGTAACAATAATAAATTTACCTGCAATCAATATGATTAGCGTCAAGGTGGTCTTTTAATTTTTGTTTTGCCGTATATTTCTTATCACAGTGTGCACAAGCAAACATCTGTCGTTCATCTGGGGCCAAGTGAATTTTCTGGTGTCGTTGCAAGCATGATATATAGGGTGTTTGGTAGCCACAAATGGAACATGTATGGATATTTTTCCGCGCATCCTTGGACCTAAAATGGTTTTTAAATATTTGTCTTGTAATTGCGTAAAACAATTCTAAAATGGTAGTGGTAGCTTAACCACTAAGAAAAAGATAAGTATAGTTGACTTGCATTGTAAGTAGGTGATAGAGATGGTTTAGAAATAACGATCACTTATTTTAACTGTAAAACTATATGAAAAATGTCGTCGATCGTCATCTCTAACTCTACTGGACGCCATTTTTTCGATTATGCGGTATAGGGGCTTGGTGCATTCTCCGCCGGTGCTGCCACAATCGGAGAATATCGTAAAAAACTAGCATATACAAATACACGGTTTTAAATAGCGGGTATACGAAAAAATTATTATTTAATTATTCTAAAAGCGTTAGGAAGTATAATTTGTGAAAATTCTAAAAATAAAAAAGTAAATATTTTCATACCTTCAGAAGGTCTAACCAGTTAAAACAACTTTTTAGATGATCTAAATACTCGTAAAAATGACTAGAAAGTTTTTAGTGTGTGAAAGTTCTAATATAAAGGTCCCCGAATTATCTTTTCATAGGCAAGTAAATTATTCAGTTGTTCTTTTATTTATATTAAGCCACATGCATACTTTCTGGTTAGATTTCCTAAGAATATTGATATTCGTACGGAGTGG